AGAGAGATTATGGAGGTTCTTGCGCAGAGAGCTCATTCGGTAGTGTTGAGTTGGTACCTTCGGGAATTATGTATGTCCTTCCCTCCCTTCTGGGCATTTGGGTCAATGTAGTTTGCGTGTGGTATATGAGCGGGAGGCTCACAAAGAGGATGTGGAAGAGTTACAAGGGGTTGAGGGCGTTCCTTCTAACAGGAGCTTGTAGGTGTTGCACACTTTTTCGGTCCGGCTGCATGACATATATTTTGCAGGCGACATTCATTTCAAAGCTTGAGAAACAGAGCAACTTTATGTGAATGAACCGAGATGGATTAATTTCGGGCTTGGTCGCCGTAGGTGCCAGGAGTTGAAGCTGGTTGATCTTTGGACTATTGTATGGTGGTTTGCAACGTTAAGGTTTTTTTACATCTGGTTGGGGTCGCATCAGTGAATAGTGTTATTTAGAATTTCACGCAGCTGTCCTACCCTAACCATGGCACCTATTCGCGAGTACCTCCATGCATATGGATCCGTGCAAGCGTTAACTTCGGGTTATACTTTACTTAGGAATAGCCTTAAGCGTCTGTCTATTTTTGAAGTGTTGCCCTCGGGCAACCTTCGAGCCGTGACATCTTGTATAGGCTCTCCTGTGGAAGGCACTGGCATCGCAACCACAGATTTTTACATGAGTGTTTCTTGTTGTGTCTCTGCTTCTGATAAGTCTAAGATCGACTTTGACTGCCTCACTTATTGCAAACCCAGCAGGAGTGTCGCCCACCCAATGTTTTCCCTCTATCCGTCACTGGCCATCTATTCTTTCTAAGTTTCCCACAGACGGCGCCAAATGGTGTGGGTAATTTCTGACCACACTGCCCGCTAGTAATCAAGCTGGAGAACACATTCAGGGGAGCACTGGCAGAATAGATGGCTTCAGCAAACCTGTAACAGAAAGAAAAGGCTCCGGCGGTGGCTCTTCCACCCGGGGGCACTCCGACGATCAAGTCAGTATATCTCTCAAAGATAATCAAGTGCTAAACTCACAAGCTTGAGTATAAAACTGCGTACCTTAGACCCACAGGGGTGCCTCTTTTTTATAGTTTACTCAATCCAAGTCCTACTAGAAGCCTGACTTCTATGGACTCCAATTTAGTATTGACTTTGGACTCTTCAAGAGATAAAGATAAACTCCCTAAGAGCTTTATCCTTATCTTAGCAAAGTCTTCTCTTTACTCTAGGACTCTTGTCCCTTATCCGCTTATCTCGGATTCTGATATCTTCGGAGATAACCTCGGCCTCGCCAAGATAACCTCGGCACAACTACCATGACACGTGGTACCTCGGCTGACACGTCGGCGTCACCATACCACGTGTTGGTATTCAGAAAATACATCCCCACACTAGTTTTTTTTTTTTCTCCGTGATAGCTGGGAGAAATGAATGAACAATAGCATCTTAGCTACCGTTATAGCAGACATGGTTATTTTATTAGTCAATCTTTGTAAACATGGATATTGTATTTTTGTTTTCAATTGGAAAATTTTCAGGTTTTGGAGGTTTGAAAGGGCTGTGCCGGTCCATTGACGAGTCTTTTATTTTAATTTTTTGCCTTAACATCTTCAAATCTTTGTTTGGGGAGCTTGAATCTGAATTATTCAGCTAGAATCAGATTTTTTGTTGGGGTTAGAATTGTTAGAAAATTTTACTGAAAATATTTACTACATTATATATGTTAAAATTTTACATAGAGGGAGTTTATACTATTGTGGTAATCAGCTTCAGTTTTTTTTGAATTACATTTCACATTGACATATTTCTTTTGGTTGGAATACAAGTTTTTAAATGATTTTGACGGAGCTTAAAGGATTATTGGAACTGGCATGAGTGATTTGAAGTTCATATATTGCAAGACAACTATCTCTCATAGCTTTTTCTATTTTATTTATTTTTTCTAAACTATTATTATTATGGCTATGCTTCAGTGGAAACTTTTGGCCTTGCTCAAGGAAAGGAAAAAGTTGTAATTTTATTAATTAAATGACCCTCATTTGTTCTTTGTGGACACCCAAGCGATTTTGTAGTGGAAAATATATTTATTGGGTTTCAATGAAATATGAATATGTTAGAAATTTTAGAGATGTAAATAAGGTAGGAATTGTACTAATAAATTCCACGGATGAAAATGTATGGAATGATGGAAGTCTTCTACTGATGTAACGATTTAAAAACAACGCGTAAAAGAATTAAAAAAATTTCTTTTATGTAGGAAAATGATTTCATTTATAAAATACTGACAAAATCAGAATGGACATAAGAAACAACCTCAATTAGAACCTCTTCCATTCAAAGTGACCATAGATGGGCAGTTTCATTTCCTAGCATTTTGTCATGAATACAAACAGATTTAAAACTCCCATCCACTCTTTAATATCAGATCAGCAATAATATTCTAAATAGATGAGAAATTTTCTTCATTACAAATAATTTGTATGGTTAAAAGAAACTACTCTCAGCTTGTATGATTCCCAATAGATTTAGTAATTTTCTTCATTAAAAAAAATTTGTTTGCTTAAAAGTAAATACCTCAGCCTGTATGCTTTCCAATAGATGATAAATTTTCTTCATTAAAACAAATTTGTTTGTTTAAAAGTAAATATTCCTTAGCCTCTATGCAACAAATTCAAGCCATTGGCAAAAGACACAACTTTGTACACCCCAACTACTTTAATGTTGTCCACAACAGATTCATTGCAATTCTCTCACTGCTTGATGCCATTTCTCATGAAATCTCTCACAATGATACCAATACCTATCACTCCCATCTTTTAAATTTTTATATATATTCCTTTTAAATAGTTCACTAAATTCCATCACATTCACATAATAAAAATGTTAATGTGTAAAGTAACTGAAATATTGATTATAACTTAATGCAAGAAAAATGAAGGGCAGTGGAAAATTAAAACTGAGCATTATTTATTACAAAGATAAAGACGTGTAATAAATTATACATTTAGATAAAAATTTAAATTTAAAAAAAAAAGAAAAAAGAACTCATTTGAAATCAAGAACTCTTCAAAGCTGATAAAACATCTTTCATTGTAACTTATAGGAAAGTAGGTCGATGGTTTAGATTAAAAACAAATCAAAAAATTAGAATTTAAATTGATAAAATTAAAAATTAAGGCTTGTTTTTTTTTTTTACAAAATTCAAACTCTGATTTTTTATTTTTATTTTTGTAATTTCCCCTTAGAAAAAATTACCAATAAAGACATGCTCTGCCTTACCCAAATGCAACTTTATTGAAAACTTGTAAAGAAGCCTTGATGAATGGCCTTCAAGACATATACATTTGATTCAATAAATAAATGCATACAACTAGTTTTTCATGAGAGAGGAAAATTACTATATACTATCTCTCAAGACATTAATTTGCTAGCCTAGAAGTAGAAAGGGAAAACAATAGAAAGAGGCTTCCCTTCCTCTCTCAGTAGCTTCTTTCACCGCATTTCTCATTGATCCCATTGTCTTTCCTCATCCAAACACCATTCTGATCACACGGGAACGAATTGAGGCCGGGACATTCTACTTTCTCTAAGTAAATCAAATTGGAAAATAACATCATAATGTCTATCCAAGGCATCTCTAAGTTACTCAAGTACTTCAATTGTAACATTGCAACTGTGGTAGCTCTTATTTTGTCCAGATTACACAATAGTCCTCCTCTGGTGTAAAGTTTCTTCAAGTTCTTCAAATTGCTAGACCACAACCAACTGGGTGTATCTATCAGGAAAACACTCAAGCTCTAGTTTTTGCAATGATGAAGGAAGTTCCAATGAGAGAGGAAGTTTTGGATCATGCTGCTCAATGAATGATCTTGTTAGCGTTGTCTGCTTGGAAAATAGCTGTACTTAGGTGAATCATCAATTTTACCTCGTAAAATGCATCCTGACCAAGATATTTTCAACTTCTCTAGAAATTTTAATCTTTGTAAATGATGAAGCTGCTGATCTGTTGGAAATTCTTTCATACTTGTGGATATGCTCAATTTTCGTGGCATTGACAATTTTGTCAAATCATTAGTAGTACATGACTTTTTGTCCTTAGAATCTCCAATAATAAATCTCTTAAGAACTTGGAGATTAGAGAGTGCACCAAGCCCCTTAGGCATGTGATCGAAAAGGTAACACTCAGATATGTCTAAGTGTGTCAAATTCTTAAGCAAGCCAATCCACTTTGGAACCACCTCAAGATTGTGACAGGCTTTGAGATCCAAAATCTTAAGATTAGTTAGTTTTGAAATGAACTGAGGAAGTTCTTTAATAAAGAAATTCCTCAAAGGCTAAGAACCCCAATTGTTTCAGATTCTTGAGAAAATTGAGAATTTTGATATCTGGGATTTTAATGTGATGCGTGACCAAGTTCTGCCACCTTCCCAAGTAAACAACTGTCAAATAGTTGCACCATCTGAAAAGACTTTCTTGTCTTCCATCAATAATAGCCGCATCAATGTTGACGATGCTACGAAACCTCATGGCGAAGCCTTGAATCAATTTAAATGGTCCAGTGGTTAAAAAACAACGAATGGCAGGGGGCATCCTGTAGCTTTCCACAACCAATCCACAGTTTTTGTAGATAGGTTCGATGAAGCCCTTCGCAGTAAGCTCATCCAAGATCTCGTTGACAAAATCCTCTGCCTTCTTCCCCAACACAATTTCTTCTGTATTTTGGTCCATTGACTTTATTGGGGGTAGAAGTCCCTCTCCAATCCACAAGTAAATCATGAACCTTTTCTTTATTGTAGCCATTTCTGGGCAATTCCGTAAAGAAAACAAAAAAGATAAATGGATATCTGCAAGTGCAGGGGTGTGATCAAACTTTGGCCCCTTGGACAAGCTGGGCAAATAACCGGACTTGTTTACGTCGACTTGGTAGTTGCTGCTGCTACTGTTAATGGATTCATCAAACCATGATTTCCGATGTGGTTTTGAATCATCATCATAATGGATTTTAAGCTTGGAGGGAATCTGGGATTTCAACTTCTTGACAGACATTTTCAGTTGGTCAAGTTCGTTCGTATCACTCCCTCCTCTTGTTTTGAGCTCCTCAAATTTCTCACAAGCCTGGTTGATTTGCACATTCATATGATCTACAAACTTCTGAATCTCTGTCGTGGTCTTTTTCATGAAATTAAGATCTCGACCAATCATGTTAGTGAGATCAGGATCAGCAGCTTGGTAGTCGTCGTTGTTGTTTGTGGCGGTGGTAGCTTTGTGGTGGTGGTTGTTAAGTGGATTTGGTTGGGGGATACAACTGCCCATGGCTTTGGAAGGAACTACTACCAAAACAGGGTCGTGTTGGAGTCTTGTCTAGAGAGAGAGAGAGAGAGAGAGAGGACAGGTTTTTTCTTTGATGGTCTGGTCTGGGTTTCGAAGAGAAAAATGGATCATGAGAGAGAGTGAACACGTTTTTCCTTTGATGGTCAGGCTTTCAAAGAGAGATGGATCATTAGAGAGAATAAACGCTGTGACACCGTAAGAGAGAGAGAGAGAGAGAGAGGGAGACCAAGTAAGACTGAGAAAAGGTATAGAAGAGATAAACAAAGGGGTGGCCTACTACAGATGTTTACCCAGGCAATAATTGATGAGACGCGGGGAAGAAATATGGCCCACTGGCCGGCACCATGGTTGTTGAACCGCGTTGAAGATTTGAATAATATTTGGGATTATCAAATAAAAATTATGAAATATTTTATGATTTTTTTTTATTTTTTGATTTGTGTGTGGTATTTTGTTATATGTGTAATTTAACGATGAAGAATCTTTCATGATCATCTTCATGTTATTTTTTTCATGATCCCTAACATCACTCGGTGGATTTTATTATTGTTTTGTTTTGGCTTGTAGAGTTTATTATGAATTTTATTTTAATGATTTGAATTATTTATTTTATAAATTTTTTGTGTGTATATTATTTATAAAAAAAATTAAATTGATTCAATAATTATAATATTTTCATTTTATCTTATTTAAAAAAAATAGTCCATTTTAATAAAAATATTTGTTTAATTTTTCAAAAACAAAAGTAATAAAATAAAAATATTATGATTATTGGTTCAACTTAATTTTTCGTTATAAATAATATACATTAAAGGCCCTACAAAATAAATAATTAGGATCATTGAAACGAAACTCGTAATAAATTCCACAGAGAAGCTCAACCCTCCTTTAAACAATGGGAAGGAAGTTTTACTTTGCCCCCAAACTATCACTCAAAATCAATTCAGTATCCATTCTTTCGATTATATAAATTTTACACATAAACCATTCAATTTTGGATCAATTTCATCTCGTTGTCAACTGTTGTCTATGATCAGACAGAATTTGCTGACTTGGCATCATGTTTTCATTTAAAACTTCATTTCATCCCCCAAATTATCTTTAAAATATTAATTAGACCCACAAATTTCATTTTGTCCAGGGGTCTAATTGTTATTTTAGAAATAGTTTGGAAGGTAAAATGAAATTTGAGGGTCATATCAATAACTTCTCTGTAATTATAGATGACGATTGATGGTGAAGATAAAATTAAATAGTTTTTATGTAAAATTGATTTTATTAGAAGAATAAGAATTGATTTAATTTTTAAGTAATATCTGTGCGGGCAAAATAATATTTTCTCAACAATGTGCCTCCTTCACAAGGTGTATATCATATGTATTCTATTACAATATGTATAATATAATTATAGCGCTTCAAAACAAACACTAAATAATATGTTGCAATTTTATAACCAAAATTATTCCTAACATTTTTCATCATAAATTATTTGTAATATACATAATCACAATGGTTATAAATTTTGCTTTAGTTGTGTGCATCATAGATTCACCATTTGAAACTTTTATCATAGAGTGAGTGACAAAATGTACACTACAAATATTCTTAATTTTCATCACAAAATACAATAATCAATAAATATATTTTCCTAACTAACAAAAAAATTCATCACAAGATACAGTAATAAAAAAAATTCAATGTAAAAGAGATGGCATATTATTTTATGACTAACAAATTATTTAAAAAATAGAATTAAATGTCATGTAAATTAAAATATTAAAAAAATTTAACATAATTATATTAAAATTATGAAATTTGATATTTTTTTTTATAAATCTCCAAATTGATAAGTGTAATTTACCCAATAAATCAATGTAAAAGAGATGACATATCATTTTATGACTAACAAATTATTAAAAAAATAGAATTAAATGTCATGTAAATTAAAATATTAAAAAAATTTAACATAATTATATTAAAATTATGAAATTTGATATTTTTTTATAAATCTCCAAATTGATAAGTGTAATTTACCCAATAAATTAAGATAACCCCATTTTTCTTCATAAATGATAAAATTCAGGCAGCGTTTTGACTAGTTGATCTAGTTGACCATAAAGACCTCCTTTCCCATCAAGTTCCTACTAAATCAATTTGATCGTACTTCAAATTTTAAATGATGACTACATTGATCTATATATACAATTTTATTTTTATTTTTTTCAAAGAGGAAATTTGTTAGAACTTTCTCTTACAATATAAAGCTTTTGGGGAGGTTCAAATAACCTCAAGTTTGGCTTAGATTGTGTTGGCTACATATTTTGTATAAGCCATTTACAATTCAACGTGTGGCAGAATAAGGGTAATATGGGAAGACTAATCAAGTCCTCGATCGTGATCGTACACATGGTAGTTAGTATTGTTTCTTACAAGATCTGCGTAGCACTAGATCAGCAAAGAGATGCAAGTGATGTGGCTTCAACGGTTACTCACATTCAAATTCAAAATCAGGAGGGAAGCCTAACTGCAAGTGATGGCATAGTGGAGCTAACTATAAGGCAACATGATCAACGATCATGGAGGAACGATTCGACGGTTAGAAGTGCAGTTCGATAGTCATTCTTGAGAAGTATAAATAGCAGAGAAGGCCCCAGAAAAAACCCCCAGACTCAGATCCAAAAAACCAGTTTTATTCTACTTTATTTCCTTTCTAGTTTTTACATTTCCTGTTCTTTACATTTCTGTACTTTAATTCCTACACTGCACTTCGTTCATAGGAGTAGGTTCAAGTAGACTATTGTTGTAAACCTCTACGAGGCTAAATTGGATTATTGTAAGTTTTTCATTTTAATGAAATGCTTCAATTGTTCTTCATTTGATTGTTGTTTACTTAATTCTCCTAAATCAAGCCACCGGTAAAAGTCCTCTTCATTGAGGCTGAAAGAACTAAAGAACAGTCATCTGATAATTGGTTGGTAATTAATTTTCTGTAAGCACTGATTGTTCCTTGCTGGCACGCTCACAATTACAATAATAACCTTCAAAAGCCAAAAAGCCAACATATATTTTTGGCACGCCCAGTGGGACTAATTGAAATGGCTAGACGTAGGAGACAAGGACAAAATGAACGCTTGGAAGAAGGCATAGAAGGAGAGGTAGAAATACCTAATCCAGAGGATAATATGATAACACATCCTCTGGAAACACCAATTTTATCAGAACCTATGGTCGAACAGACTAGTACTTCGGAACAAGTACCACATGTTCATAATATTGGACGAGGCCAATGAATTGGACCATCTACTGTTCCATCTACTCAGCCAATGAATCCATGTGGTGGTGTAACGCCCTCAAAATAATAACATTAAACCCATCAGAGAAGACATGCATTTACATATAAACTAACCACATTCCTTTATTTTATTGAGTTCCATTACATAAGTATTACATGTTAACATCAAAACAAAATGCCCTACGGGCTTACAGCTTTCCAAGTTAACACTTGGTTACAACAAAGAGTACTAACTCGTTACACATTAAGCCCTTGGCTTGAAGTTACATGTAATACATCAAAAGTAAAACAACAGTAAGCTCATCCAAGATCTCGTTGACAAAATCCTCTGCCTTCTTCCCCAACACAATTTCTTCTGTATTTTGGTCCATTGACTTTATTGGGGGTAGAAGTCCCTCTCCAATCCACAAGTAAATCATGAACCTTTTCTTTATTGTAGCCATTTCTGGGCAATTCCGTAAAGAAAACAAAAAAGATAAATGGATATCTGCAAGTGCAGGGGTGTGATCAAACTTTGGCCCCTTGGACAAGCTGGGCAAATAACCGGACTTGTTTACGTCGACTTGGTAGTTGCTGCTGCTACTGTTAATGGATTCATCAAACCATGATTTCCGATGTGGTTTTGAATCATCATCATAATGGATTTTAAGCTTGGAGGGAATCTGGGATTTCAACTTCTTGACAGACATTTTCAGTTGGTCAAGTTCGTTCGTATCACTCCCTCCTCTTGTTTTGAGCTCCTCAAATTTCTCACAAGCCTGGTTGATTTGCACATTCATATGATCTACAAACTTCTGAATCTCTGTCGTGGTCTCTTTCATGAAATTAAGATCTCGATCAATCATGTTAGTGAGATCAGGATCTCCAACTTGGTAGTCGTCGTTGTTGTTTGTGGCGGTGGTAGCTTTGTGGTGGTGGTTGTTAAGTGGATTTGGTTGGGAGATACAACTGCCCATGGCTTTGGAAGGAACTACGACCAAAACAGGGTCGTGTTGGAGTCTTGTCTAGAGAGAGAGAGAGAGAGAGAGAGGACAGGTTTTTTCTTTGATGGTCTGGTCTGGGTTTCGAAGAGAAAAATGGATCATGAGAGAGAGTGAACACGTTTTTCCTTTGATGGTCAGGCTTTCAAAGAGAGATGGATCATTAGAGAGAATAAACGCTGTGACACCGTAAGAGAGAGAGAGAGAGAGAGAGGGAGACCAAGTAAGACTGAGAAAAGGTATAGAAGAGATAAACAAAGGGGTGGCCTACTACAGATGTTTACCGAGGCAATAATTGATGAGACGCGGGGAAGAAATACGGCCCACTGGCCGGCACCATGGTTGTTGAACCGCGTTGTCTTGAGAGAAGATTTGAATAATATTTGGGATTATCAAATAAATATTATGAAATATTTTATGAATTTTTTTTATTTTTTGATTTGTGTGTGGTATTTTGTTATATGTGTAATTTAACGATGAAGAATCTTTCATGATCATCTTCATGTTATTTTTTTCATGATCCCTAACATCACTCGGTGGATTTTATTATTGTTTTGTTTTGGCTTGTAGAGTTTATTATGAATTTTATTTTAATGATTTGAATTATTTATTTTATAAATTTTTTGTGTGTATATTATTTATAAAAAAATTAAATTGATTCAATAATTATAATATTTTCATTTTATCTTATTTAAAAAAAATAGTCTATTTTAATAAAAATATTTGTTTAATTTTTCGAAAACAAAAGTAATAAAATAAAAATATTATGATTATTGGTTCAACTTAATTTTTTGTTATATATAATATACATTAAAGGCCCTACAAAATAAATAATTAGGATCATTGAAACGAAACTCGTAATAAATTCCACAGAGAAGCTCAACCCTCCTTTAAACAATGTGAAGGAAGTTTTACTTTGCCCCCAAACTATCACTCAAAATCAATTCAATATCCATTCTTTCGATTATATAAATTTTACACATAAACCATTCAATTTTGGATCAATTTCATCCCGTTGTCAACTGTTGTCTCTGATCAGACAGAATTTGCTGACCTGGCATCATGTTTTCATTTAAAACTTCATTTCATCCCCCAAATTATCTTTAAAATATTAATTAGACCCTCAAATTTCATTTTGTCCAGGGGTCTAATTGTTATTTTAGAAATAGTTTGGAAGGTAAAATGAAATTTGGGGGTCATATCAATAACTTCTGTTTAATTATAGATGACGATTGATGGTGAAGATAAAATTAAATAGTTTTTATGTAAAATTGATTTTATTAGAAGAATAAGAATTGATTTAATTTTTAAGTAATAGCTGTGCGGGCAAAATAATATTTTCTCAACAATGTGCCTCCTTCACAAGGTGTATATCATATGTATTCTATTACAATATGTATAATATAATTATAGCGTTTCAAAACAAACACTAAATAATATGTTGTAATTTTATAACCAAAATTATTCCTAACATTTCTCATCATAAATTATTTGTAATATACATAATCACAATGGTTATAAATTTTGCTTTAGTTGTGTGCATCATAGATTCACCATTTGAAACTTTTATCATAGAGTGAGTGACAAAATGTACACTACAAATATTCTTAATTTTCATCACAAAATACAATAATCAATAAATATATTTTCCTAACTAACAAAAAAATTCATCACAAGATACAGTAATAAAAAAAATTCAATGTAAAAGAGATGGCATATTATTTTATGACTAACAAATTATTTAAAAAATAGAATTAAATGTCATGTAAATTAAAATATTAAAAAAATTTAACATAATTATATTAAAATTATGAAATTTGATATTTTTTTATAAATCTCCAAATTGATAAGTGTAATTTACCCAATAAATTAAGATAACCCCATTTTTCTTCATAAATGATAAAATTCAGGCAGCGTTTTGACTAGTTGATCTAGTTGACCATAAAGACCTCCTTTCCCATCAAGTTCCTACTAAATCAATTTGATTGTACTTCAAATTTTAAATGATGAATACATTGGTCTATATATACAAAAAAAACAAAAAATTCAAAGAGGAAATTTGTTAGAACTTTCTCTTACAATAGAAAGCTTTTGGGGAGGATCAAATAACCTCAAGTTTGGCTTAGCTTGCTAGTAAAATCTCTTAATAATTTAAATTTTTACATAAATAACTAGTTAATAAGCTAATATGTTAATAGAGTAGATAATGAATTTTATGAAGACTAATGATTAGCACACGCGATGTGTGTGCAATTTAAATAAGAAGTGATGTGGCTTCAACGGTTACTCACATTCAAATTCAAAATCAGGAGGGAAGCCTAACTGCAAGTGATGGCATAGTGCAGCTAACTATAAGGCAACATGATCAGCGATCATGGAGGAACGATTCGACGGTTAGAAGTGCAGTTCGATGGTCATTCTTGAGAAGTATAAATAGTAGAAAAGGCCCCAGAAAAAACCCCCAGACTCAGATCCAAAAAACTAGTTTTATTCTACTTTATTTCCTTTCTAGTTTTTACATTTCCTGTTCTTTACATTTCTGTACTTTAATTCCTGCACTGCACTTCGTTCATAGGAGTAGGTTCAAGTAGGCTGTTGTTGTAAACCTCTACGAGGCTGAATTGGATTATTGTAAGTTTTTCATTTTAATGAAATGCTTCAATTGTTCTTCATTTGATTGTTGTTTACTTAATTCTCCTAAATCAAGCCACCGGTAAAAGTCCTCTTCATTGAGGCTGAAAGAACTAAAGAACAGTCATCTGATAATTGGTTGGCAATTAATTTTCTGTAAGGACTGATTGATCCTTACTGGCACGCTCACAATTACAATAATAACCTTCAAAAGTCAAAAAGCCAACATATATTTTTGGCACGCCCAGTGGGACTAATTGAAATGGCTAGACGTAGGAGACAAGGACAAAATGAACACTTGGAAGAAGGCATAGAAGGAGAGGTAGAAATACCAAATCCAGAGGATAATGTGATAACACATCCTCTGGAAACACTAATTTTATCAGAACCTATGGCCGAACAGACCAGTACTTCGGAACAAGTACCACATGTTCATAATATTGGACGAGGCCAAGGAATTGGACCATCTACTGTTCCATCTACTCAGCCAATGAATCCATGGGGTGGCCTAGTAGCCACGGACACATGTCCGGATCACGGTATAACAAGGGTAAACCCGGGATCGCTATAGGTGGCCTAGTAGATGCCATGGGACAGCAGTTAATGAACACAATGGAAAGATGGGCAACATCTTTTTTGTACTGAATGAATACCCATCAACCGACAAACATAAGACACATGGAGGAGATTTCCAATGTCCCTCAGCAAAGATTGGCTACAGATAAATAGCCTATGCAAATTAATGGACATTCTAAAGGTCAAACTAGTAATCAGAACTATGAAAGACCATCACCTCAGTCTTGGTATGAACCTATTTCGAGGCCTATAGCAGGACAAAATGCCTCTGTACTTAACAGTGAAGCCATGCAAATTGGTGGATCTGGCCCAGTACAAGAAAATGGCATAAGAATGGTTCCAAATCCCATGTTCGAAGCCATACCTAGCACGAGGGGGTTCACTAATCCTTTATTCAAATTTATACCCGGAGAGTTGGAAGGTTTTCCTAAAACTGGAAGAGACACAATACCTATTCCAGCACCTTTCGCAGGGCCTTTCTCAAGACAGGCTCAAAGGGGTCACCCATACCCCCAACAGCAACCGGCACCATAGGGACAACCAGTCCCAAATATACTACCTTATGGACCAAGAGGACCCCAGGCACAAGGTTGTCCACCAAATCCTGTGCTTATTTCCCCAATAATGGTTCAACAGGCACAAAATATGGTCCCTAAGGACCAAATTGCTGATATTGTTAGAGAGATGTGTGGACCAATGGCTCGGGCGGTTCAAACTCCTATGTACAGCAAACCATATCCATAATGGGTGGATAGGGTACATGAATATCCAAGAGGATTCAGGATACCAGACTTTGCCCTTTTTTATGGGAATGGAAACCAGTCAACAGTGGAGTATATTGCTAGGTTTGCTGCTCAATGTGGTGAATTTACCAATAATGATTACAAGAAGTTAAGATTGTTCCCAAATTCTCTTACAGAGGCAGCCTTCGTATGGTATATTAACCTTACGCCTGGCTCCATTCAGACTTGGCAACAAATGGAAGAGGCATTTCATGCCCAATTCTTCCAAATTAAGCCAGAAGTGTCCATGGCAGATTTGGCAAGGTTAAGCCAAAGGCCTAAGGAAAAGGCTGCTCAATTTATTGCCAGATTTAAAAGAGTACGAAATAAATGTAGGGTCATCCTACTAGAGCCAGAATTTATGAGATTGGCTCAGAATGGATTAGAGTTTAGGCTTCGAAAGAAGTTTGACTCAACTGAGTTTAGAGACTTAGTGGAACTAACTTATAAGGTGTCTAGGTATGAAGCATTACTAGAGGAAGAATAAGATCGAAATAATGCATCATACAAGACATATTATAGGAAGACATATTATAGAGATCATAATTATGAGATTGATGCAGCAGAGATTGTGGTGAAAGAACCTGTGATCTGTGAGGCATTGATTCATAAGGACACAACAATTGACCAGAAGTTTAAAAAGAAAGACCTTCATAGAAAATACTCTTTCGGTTTAACAAAGGCAGATGACATTTTTTATCATTTGCTTGCGGCCAACTTCCTTAAGTTACCAAAATGAGTCAAAATTCCATCTCCAGATGAACTTAAAGGAAAAGTGTATTGTAAATGGCATAATTATTGGTCTTACTCGACTAAAAATTGTATTGTTTTTCGAGACAGGATCCAAAAATAAATTCGGAAAGGAAGTTTAAAATTCCCAGCTAAAGCAGAAAAGGCCATAGGGATCGATAGTAATCCATTTCCAGAAGTTGGAGAAAGTGCAGCTAATGTTGTTGTACCAGACTTCTAGAATTTATCTTTGAAGGAATTGGAAGAGGTCAATGTGCAAATGCATGTTGCTAGCCAGACTACTGTCAAGAAAGACATCAGAAGTTCACCAATTGTTGGACAAGGCTCTATGGGTCAAGAAAAAGACTCTGATGAGGAAGCACTGGATGATAACTCCTCATAGGCAGCAGTTATCCAAAGAATGTGCCCCAGGTGTAGGTTGAGCTATAAGTGGCTGAAAGGGCTTCCAATTGATGGGAAGCAATACTACAGGGATGTGCAGAGA